TCATTCATTCGATCTATTTTTCTTGGTAAAAAATCTATCAATCAGGACGAAAAACAAACATGTTCGGCGTTTTTAAGCAGTTTTAAGATTTAAACTTTGCGCACTGTACAAACTTACGGATTCTCTTAATGTTCTGAAAAGTGTTTGGTGGTCGGAATATGATAATGATCTAACCACACAAATCGATGACTTCGTTGCCTATCTTTGACCTTTGTTAGAACTTGAAACCGTTATCTCATTTTAACTAATAACTTTCAATTTAATTATCCTGCCTTTTGAAGGAAACTTTATCGAAGTATTTATGCCGATATTTGATGTAAATGAAAACGATATTTTGACTTTAGGATTTTGTGTCTCACCTGTCCAGTGGATCTATCTTTTCCAATAGAGGCAGCAGCCTATCACCGACAAACCGTTTCACGTGCAACTCAAGACAGAGAAGCTGAACGTCGTGATGGAGTCCAACAAGTTCACGAAGCTCCTGTAAAACGAAACAAAACGGATATGTAATTCTTTGATCTCTTTCACTCCCAAGATCTCAGTGGCAATTCTCCTCACTGTTTGCCATACAATTCCTATCAGGTAAGTTGAGAGAATTTGGTTTTGGATCAACTAATTGATATTTGTTTATATTCCTATTACTTGTGTGCTTGATATTGTATTGATATTGTAAGGAGAAATTATATCTTGGTCACTCAAGGGAGTTAAAGGGTTAACTGCTGCTTTAACAATATTTATAGATGGTTAATTTTGGTGAGATCGCAGCGCATTTGGCATTGTTGTACAAACTGAGGACCCAAACACGTTCACAAACAGGGCGACAAGAATAAGAAAAAAAAAAACTCAGACACTTCGAGCGCCCTGAGGGTTCAAAACCCTATCGCCTATTGCATTGGTAAACCCAGAAAAAAATTGAAACATACAGTGTTTTGTTTCAAGTTTATCTGATGGATGCAAAAGTCTCGAATTTCTATCGGCTTAGCGGTGTAATAACTCGAAAATTGTGTGAATCTCTCGCCTCCGGCTCGTGATTTATAAACTTTTCTCTTGTTCTCCCATCATTCCGCTTGGCTTTTGACATCGGTAAACAGATGGAACCTGCAGTCTCAGCACAAATCCACTTAGAGACTGATCAAGGAGGATCTCATTGCACGCGATTCACATTCAAAACCCATTGCCTTAAATGCAACCCTCTCGATTTTACTACTATAACATCACCACGATCAATACAGACAACTTTTCTAACTTTGTCTGGGACGTGCTAAGTTCGTTTCTTACCTTAACAGAGGAGTAAGTAAAGTCCATTGTGCCGTAATGTTGGCGAAACCCCGAGCATAATTCCACGCTTGCGCAGTGTTGAATTTCCTCAGGTATCCAGCGTGAAAGAAGTACACACCCTTTATTCCACTCCTGGACAATCGAGGTGTCCCGAGGGTGGTCCTGCTCAAACGCACCACAGTTGCCGCAAGGACAGCATTCGTTCAGTTGTTCTTCAACTGAAATGATAACAATAATTTTTTAAAATGTTTTCCTGCCTTTTAATTCCAAAATCTAAAATTTTGGTCATGTGCCTCAGTCCAGCTTGAATGGGTGTACATAAAATGATAAATTAGCAATTCTCTGAAATAGAATTAGGAGAATTGTTAAAACACAATATTGGAGAATTGATAGGTTGACACTGTAACCCACAACTCAATAAATACTCTCGACACTGGTGTGTCGGTTTCCTGCCTTGGTATATGGTTGTTTGTTTCTAGACGAATACTGTTGGTGTTTAGTTATAAGATCACTAACTTCTGTCGCCAGAGTTATCTAGGGATAATCTGGTGCCTAGAGTCTATTTTCCAAACATAATGGAGGTACCACCCTTACAAAATTTCGTGCTAAAAGTTTCACCAATACATGTAACCGGGCTCGAAATTAACAATCACAAACTCGCGAAATGCGAGTGGTTTTTTGAAGTTGCGAGTCTAGAAAATATCCTTTAGCAAACATTTGCGAGTACCGATATTTATCCAGGAGAATTTCGATTTAAAAAAATACGCTGTTGGAGTAAATAGGTGGTGGATGTCAGGACAGCGGCAAACGAGACCACAAAATTAACGCTTTGATACACATTTTCATATTTATTTTTACTTTTCAGGTCGCTGAAAATCTTAACATTGATCTAGTTCTCAAAGGGAAAATGGCCACATTGAAAAGTAGCTAGTGAGATTCCTACTTTTGCTAGTAAAAAAATCTTACTTGCAAAACTTTGCTAGTGGACTAAAAAGTTAAGTTCGAGCCCTGCAATAATATTCTCTGTAAGTCTCGTGTCCGACACAACTTACACTGCATTGGTGGCCTGACGGATGATGGTTTCCTATCTTTCCTACACGGGAGCCATAATCGTTCTTGAGAGTAACTTTCTCTCGCTTATCAGTATACTCAATTTTCCCCTCATCTCCGCGCATGCGTTTACAAAAGAAAATAGTTCTCATTCCGAGAATACTGATACGGCTACCAAAGTTTAACTGTTTAAGTAAACGATATGGCTGCCCGTGATGTCAAACAGTAAACAATGCGGTAGTCATATCGTCTACTCCCCTAAACATGACAGCGTAACGTTCTATGTTTGTATTCTGCTCCCTTGTGGATGCATCACTGAACCTAAAGTACTTGTTGAACCCGTTCGGTGACTCAATGCTCGGAAACTTTGTACTTAAGTATCAGAGTACATTTTTGGTTTCAGAAACGACGATCTGAGTAAAAATCGAAAATTCTTATTCCTGCTGTCCTGCATCTTTCAAAATAGCGCAACCATAAAAAAGTAAAAATACATTCACACAAACAATAGAATGTCTGTAAATAAGACCCTCACTTGATATACCCGCAAGGAACCTAGTTAGGGACCAACCCACCATAGAGTCCTCTGCAGTACTGGGGCAGAGCATTCGATGGTTAAAATCGACGGTACAGAGTTCGATTGTTTTCCTTTGTCTCACGCTCGTGAAAAAAAAAAACAGTAACTTAATTTCATTTCGAAACAGTTTAAGTAAATGAACTAAATGCCCCACCTTTAATAATTTTCAAAAGTTGAAACTACACTTCAGGCGACTCTGAGCTTCCAAGCAACCATACCTTAAGTCTCAGTTCTTTGCAAGGACCCGCTCAATGCATGTTAAAGTGCAAAAGGTTAGCACCGGAATTCTGCAGTAAGCGATGAACACATGCCCAATAAGCTTTTTTTCTGGCGGTTCCATCGAAAAGTTCGTTTCTGTGTACACGCATGCAACATGTTACTAATAAAAAAAAAAAATCTTCTCCAAAAAGCTATTTTCATGAATCCTTTCAGTAATTCCATCGTTGTCATTAACACGTGTATGACCAGTATACTTCGTACATTTCGTACCAAGTCGCAGTTTTACTTTATTTCAATTTCGCGCCGCAGGCGACTGGAAATGAGACAATTCACACGTGAGACGTGACGTCGTGTAAAGATAGGGGAATCCCCGAAATTCTACACAAAATCATTTGCATAAGGAAAAGTCGATTTGGAAGTCACGCAATCGTTCGTTTACCGTTCGTTCTCAATCGTTGAGGGAACAGTACAGGTCAATTTCAGGTTACGAAACTTTTGGCATTTTTCCCAAAATCTTCGAAGTAGAACTTCTGATAAATAACTCCCTGAAAACTACGACCGTTTTCATTCTTCAAAACTCCCACGGATCGGTCTTTTCGTTTCAGGAAAAGTTGTCCAGACTAAGATCAATACAAGTCACAAGTTCCGTTTATTATTCTCGAGGGACACGAATTGTAACTTAAAGTTCACAAGTCGTTTAAAAGGAATGAGATACAAAAAAAAAAAACTCCTAATATCTAAAACAACAAACATATACTTGCGATTGATGCTTGTAGTTCTATGTAAGTTGTAAGTAACAGATCCTGATCAGATATGAACCATTCAATCATGCGACCACAACAAGTCAATCATGACCTGTCACAAACGAGTTAAATCACAGATTTACAGTTTTATAGCTTTATTCCTGTACGTTAAAACAGCTTGAAGAAATGCCAGAAAATTGGATCATAGCGCTCCTGGTTTCTGTCGAATGAAACAAATAATATAAATTTACCAATTATAATTACGTTAATACGGTTCAGCGCTTCGCTTCAGCAATTCTATATTTCTTATTGTTTTTTCTATTGTCATGCGATATCAAAACATGCCCGGTTGTAAAACTTGATTCCTAAGCAAAACATATGAACGGAAATGATGACACATATTTAGCTTTACGGTAACTTAGCAAAGGCTGAACTATCAGAAGCGCCAAAAATGTTACCTCTCGCTATAATATCGTCCATTATTATGCAAACAGATGATGAGAATACTTAAAATTAACAAATGGAGTTTGTTTTGTTGATCTAACACCAAATTCTCCTAACTAATTTATAAGGAAATGTGTAGCAGCTTTAGGGGGAGAATCGACAATCAGATTCTAGGAGTTAGAGGTTATAGGAATTCATAGCCATAATGATTAATTTGTAACGTTAGTTTTAATAGTATTTTGATTGCGGAGGTAATATTGTAATAACAGTTTTAAAAAGCTTTTAATCAGTATTTAATTTGTGATTTTACACGCTGTGATATTAGCGATGTTAGCTGTTAGGTTAGCTGTTAGGTTTTCATTAGGTATTAGGTGGAATACTTGTAAACTAGCTCTTAAGCTAAGCGTATTTCCACGATAAATAAAGTATTACTATTTTTATTACTATAACCAAAACGAAATTACAATTTTACCAACCAAACGCCGCTTTTTAATTCTAATATTACCCATTCTAAATCAGAACGTACTGGTATTCACTTTCCACATCACTTAATAGTTACTCAGCGGCCAAAATTGTTTAAATACTAACTATATTTCAGAGGATAAATCTGTAGTAACAGTTTAATGGAAACCTCTCCTCGTGTTCTTGAGGCGTCTTCACGCGTCCCATCGTCATTTTTTACAGGGTGCTTCTCAGGCGGGTTATTACAGCCACTCAGTCGCCTTCTTCCTCTGTCTGCCTCTCTTTCTTTACTCTTCGACAGCTTCAAGATCAGGAATGTCACAACCCCTCCGACAAATGCCCCAAAGAGTGCACTATACAAAACTCTTCCAAAGAACACCTCTCTGGTAGGGCTATCGAATGAACCTCGCTTGAAGATTTCATCTGCTGCGACCATGTGCACACAAGACAACAGCAATCGGGCAACCTGACACACCTTTTGCCTTGTCCCTACACACGATCTGACGAAATCACATGACACCATATGCTTTGTTGGGACTTTGTTGCACTGAGATCGCGTTGTTCGATTTGTCAGTGGAACCCAAAATAATATGTACACATGGATCGTTACTCGTTTTTGTAAACAAAACTGTTGATAAATAGAATTCAAAGGTGTTGACTGGTTTAAAATATAACTCCTACGGACATAGCCCCGAATACTGCGATAATCTTTCCCGATGAACATATATAACGTTTATCGTTTCTTATTCAATCTGGTGCCGTATTTATTTGCCCCTACTGGGCTTTACGATCACCGCAAATTAGACGTTTTACCTATAGCCAAGGTGACTATGACATAAAGCCCCAGACAGTCACTCGAGAAGGTTACGGGCGATTGGCTAGGCAAGGTGAAATGGTGATCATGAGAGTGATAGCAAGCGTACATCAAAATAAACTTCATAATTGGATCAAGTGGAAAGCGATCAAATTCCAACGGAAACTACTGAATCATTACATGTCTGGTCCGAGGGAATAAATGTATCGGATCTAACATTCTCTTCATAGCATAATCTTTACGGGGGATTCCCCTTTCTGATATCATTTGCATAATGGTTTGTCAGTATGGAAATCACGCCAATATCATCCTGACCTCCTGATGTCCCATTTGAATGTTGAATTCTAAGTAATGATACCACCACCTTCAAGATCAGAATGATAAGCGAGTGATCCACTAAATAATCGTGCAGAATCTGTTTCTTTTTCTTTTTCCTGGGTGAGATAATTTATGGTGCGTAGTTTAATCCGTTTGGTCGAACAAAACAAATCACACGCGAAAAGTACGATCTTCTGTAATATTTACTCCGATTGACGACAAAATTTAAACTACGTAGGAGGTTTACAAATCTTGAAAAAGGGAACAAAAAAGAAAACATGTGAAGATGAAACAATTTTTTTTTAGTGTAATAGAAAAAATCCGATCCATCTGGGGCTCGGATTTTTTCTATTACACCAAAAAAGAAAAAACTGATAAAAAACCAATACAAAACATTTCACACTTTAAGAGCAAATCTGTGCAAAAATCAAACATTGCATGGCAAAGTTAAAAAAACTGAAATTCACTGTTCTTTTGCATACAAGTAGCCTTTAGAAATAATACAATTGCTGTGTAGTTTTTTCCTTTTTCCTTGAAAAAGTTATTTGTTTCCGAAAAAATGAAAACGTTTTATTTTCAGTCCTGGGGTCGATTTAGCGACACTGAACATGTTTGAAATAGGTCATGATTCCCCCGACTCGCGTATCAAAACAATTGCGCCAGAAAAAGCTTTCATAGTTCCAAGTTGTTGTACAACTTGTCCTAGTCTAAACACCGTGATTTCATAAAGATTAGATTAATCCCAGTATTCAAGAGAAGTCGAGAGCTTATGGCTCTCCCTTGTTGCGTGGAAACGGTAGGCAAAACGCAACGATAATTTTGAGCATGTGCCTTTGTTCAGAATTTCGTAAGATTACGAATGACAATACTAGAGTTGATGATCTTTCAAACTAATTAAAGTTTAGTTTGGGGAGATGAATTTGGGATTTTAAACAATTTTTTGAAAATCGTGAAGAAAGACATAAAATCACGCCATCCTGTTGTGTATATGTGACCATCAAGACATCGATATAGTAAAAATTAACACGACTCCGATGCATAAGGCAAAGTAAATATAATAACCCTAACTCGAATAGTATATTCTTAGCTGTTCGTAAGAGTCCAAAGTTTTTCTGTTTTGCCGTTTTCTCCATTCTGTGGTCTCCGTAAATTTGACATCCGCACCGTCGCTTTATATCGCGGCTCGATCAAAACAGCTGGTCCTGAAAACGTCTAAACTTTGTAACTTGTGTTTCTTGAGAACTTGATACGACGTGTTGGTCTTCTTTGGGACAAAATTCATTAAAACACTGATCGAGCCGACAATTTAGAGCTTATCTTCAGAGTTTTCTATCGTCGATCCTGTTCACCATTTATCCGTTGTTTAACAGACTGCGTGCAAATTTGTTTCGCTTGAATCTTTAAAAAATTTGCATAGAGGCTGACGAGCTTGCGTGACAGTTGAATTTGTTCGTTCAACGTTCAGGGGGTGGGGAGAAAGGAAGTATGCGGGCTCTCTCTATAATTCGTTAGTTTCAAGTAGCAGATTTCTCTTTAGATCGCTAATGAACTATTTTACCAAGAATTTATCTTTCTCCTTACTTACTTTTGAAGAATCGAACACCTGAATTTTATGAAATTAAATTAACGTCATTAGTGCATGTTAATTTCCCACGCGAACAAAGTATAGATTCTAAATTTAAGAAAGACAATACTTTGCGTGTTCCTGCTCTTGGAAAAATGATGGAAGTTTCTTTTCTCTTTCGGGAGTATAATGAGTTGGCAGTCCATGTTCGTAAATTTATCATATTATATCGTCGCGCCTTGCAAATTACGCAGGGTAGTTCTGTCAATTAAAACCATCGAGACCTCCGTCCTGTTTTGAACTGGTTAGATTGAATACTTCGGAACAACGATCGTCAGAAACAAAAGAAAAGAGACACATGGCAAAAAGACCCAATCTTGGCCACCCTATGTACCAAATTACTGTCACGAACTCTTGCGCAGTCTGATATGCAAATTTTGTGCTGCTTTGCGAGCGAGACGTAATTTGCATATAGTGTCAAAACGGATTCACAGTAAACTGCGCGAGAGCACATGCTTGAACTAGTTGGCTGTATTGTCAGCCCTTTTACGCTTTCAATAACCTTGGCGATAAGCTTACTGACTATGGAAATGACGTCAACGATGTTCAAATTAAAGTGAAATCACGAGGCGCAGGTGAAAGACATTGGAAAATGCTAAGTATAGCCGATCTTTTTATGTGGTCGATTTTGTTATGCGTTGCGTTACATGATAGCAGATACGTATTTTTATCGTCGATAACTTTATTTAAAGATGAAAATAAACAAGCTTTAAAAATCGAGTTTCCAGATGGGATAACTTCATTGACACAAAAAATCGACCAATGAGTGCGAGAATTTCTACAACTATTGTAACAAAGCTAACAAACTATCCTTAGAGGATTCCAAAACCTACACTAAAATCTCATGGCCTATGGCAAATAAGTTGTTACAAATATAGTATCAGCTCATAAAGTTCACCCAGTAAAATCAGTCAGCAACGGTATACGTTCTTCCTTAACAGCTTTTTCTATCTGTTGAATTAAAGACAAAAATGTCAACACTAAGTAAGTAAGTAAGTACCTTACTCGATTATGAGTACAAGCCCGCTGATTCTTTCAGATGCTTTACCGAAATCAAAACACGTGATTTCCGGTTTCGGCTGTTTTCGTGTACGCTTCCTGCCGATCCACTCCAATAACCACATGCGATAACCGTAGGTTTAAGCTGCTACACTATTACAATTGCGTTTCACTAAAACAAAGCAAAGAATCTCAGTGTTAATTTATGCCCGCTGCTATACTATCGTTATTGGGTTCCATTGAAAACAAAGTTCACGACTTGCAGGAACATTGCCGAGCATCATCACGAGCCAATACTAAAATACAACAATAAAAAATGCGTGAAATGTTGGCGGGTATCAAAGGATGATGGAAACATTTCAAATAAAATAAAAATTTGAACACCGACCTTAATGACGCCTCTCTTCATGTTCTTCAGCCCTGTTCTCAGGTCTTTCATCATTTTCTTGGGGCAGGTTCTCCGCAGGGTTGTTCTGATCATCCCGTTCGCGTGTCCCTTCCGTGATCTCCTCGCCCGCTCGGTTCGATCCTGCAGATCTGTTACCCTCCAAAAATTTGAAGACAAGCCACGCTGCGATAACCCCACTCGTGGTGCCCCATAATACACTCCAAAGCAGTTTGTTGGAGGACATTTCACTAAGTTCGTCGGAAACAAATTATATTATATTACCTACGCCACGCAAACCCATTGGAGCAAGTCGAACTGGACAAGACAGCTTTCAGATGACGTATTTTCGATGAAATTGACAGACCAATCCAGTAGAAATTTCAGACCGTGGGAAAAATCGCCATGGAAACAGACAGATTACGTATTTCCGGGGAATCGAAACACGGATACTTCACTTAGGAAAAGTGTCATTCGCATGATTAACCATAAACTGCGAAGCGTAAGTCAAGTGCGAGAGGAGGAGGGCGAATAAATAACTATTTAGTTGTCATTTTTTTTTTTTTTTGCCTGCCCTCGTGCGCGACCCGCACTCTGCGCCGCCTCCGTTCGACTGAAAAACACAAGAAATACGCCTGTTCTGTAGGCTAAACAACAGCTGTAATGGAGACGAGAAGATGAGATCTGGTGCAAATACTTCCAGAACCCTTTGCAGGGATCCTTGCAGACCTCGCCGCTCGTGCGGCAGTGAAAGCAAGAGACTATGAACGTACCTGTAAGTATATACTTGAAGGTGGCACAAACTAAAATATTATCATGGTGCATCATAAGCGTTAAAATGACAGATTTCTAACTCACCTTCCAGTAGCTGTTGTGTCCTTTTTTGCAACTCGTTGAATTTACTGAGCACAATTTGCCAGTGTCTGTAACACTTGTAAATATCCTGCCATGACGAATCATCCTTCAAATCATTACTTCGAGCAATAACAGCACTGGTGAGTAACGACAGTTTTTCATGTTCTTCAAGAAGTGCGTTTGATTTTTCCTGAACTCTTCTGTGAGGGGAACTGTGCCCTGAGTCAAACCCTGCTTCGAGACGTTCCACAAAATTACGCCAAGGCAGAGAAGACTTACCCTCGTCTTTTTCGGCGATTTTTCTTAATTCGGAATACAGTCGAACGCTTGTTGCTTTCAACTTGCGGTATTTACCAGGTAGTCCTGACTCGACACCATCAACCAAAGGATCAATTGAATCTTCTTGTGCATCTATTTCCTCTGTTTCAAATGACTCAGCCGGCTTAGATAATCCCGGGGATTGACCTGGTATTTCTATAACACTTCTCGGCTTTCTACCTTTCTCGTTCATTGATAACCGCTGGGAATCTTCTGAATAATCAGCAGATCCCCTGGCAATATCAGCTTTTTCTGGAGCTTTACTTGAGACTGCAGACTCCTCCCCTGAAGGGAACGAAATTTGTGAATCCTTCTTTTTTGCATCACCTTCTTGTTCGTCACTATCATTTCTCGTGTTTGTTTTGGACTTCTGAGAATTTTTCCCACCAGTTTCTGGTTCAGTTCTTGGAGGAATATTTCCTAAAAAAAAAAAGCAACAGGAAAGAAATATTTATTTAGCATGTTTAGATATAACAAGCGAAGTAGTTGGATAATTTGCGATCATTGAAAAACACAGGGGCAACCTATCACCCAGCGAACTTAAAAAATCTTTCGATCTGGAAACTATACAGTGGAAGAAAGGATTTTTCTTTTAAAGAGGAAAGGGTAACAGCAACAATTATGAATGACGTTTCGTCCTCGCTGAGGTCATTTTCAAGCTGATGAAAAGGAAAATTTTTACATATATGTACTAAATTCAAGACGTGGGAATGATAAAGGCGATAAAATATGGAAACAAACAGCCAGACTCAATCCGTGCAAAGCTATTTTTATAATAATTTACGGTATCTTCGTATAATTTATAGTTTTACTTTCGTCAACTCTCATATTAATTTATTCGTATTGTCTCCTTTGCAATTTTATCACTTCTATTTTACGCCTAGCGTTTACATATTTCCATATTTTATCGCCTTTATCATTCCCACGTCTTGAATTTAGTACATATATGTAAAAATTTTCCTTTTCATCAGCTTGAAAATGACCTCAGCGAGGTCGAAACGTCGTTCAAAATTATTATCACTAATTTTTATCTTGAAAAGCTTTTCTAAAAAACTACTTATCAAGAATNGTCTCGTCACGCAACGCTCCTCCCCACAAACGGCTGCTCACATTCGAACAACATTCCTTTCCGCTACTTCAACCAATGACCATTTGGGTTACATATGTTGAGAACTGTACGCACCAAAGTAGTCTAACCAATCATATTGTTTGTTTAGTCATTTTTCCTGCATTAACCGCAGTGGGGAAGGACTAGAACAGGAACATGAATTCCCTTCAAGCTAGTCCACCCATATTATAACCCACCCATACCACCCCAGGGGAGAACATCCATCACACAGTAATCTCGTGCGTGGGAAATTAACGTCTCTTGCCTCCTTACCCTGCAAGAGACGGGACCTCCGGCTTAACGTCCTATCCGAGAAGACGCAGCAATGTGAGTAAAGCGTCTTGCTCAAGGACACAACGTTAAGCCCCAGCCAGGACTTGAACCTGGGCCGTCTGACCCAGAGTCCAGCGCACTGACCACTGGACTACTCACACCTCACATACGACTCACACCTCACATACGCCTCACATTGTTTCATCTTGGAGTTGAAAGCTTTCAAAATGGCGTCCTTTGAAGAAGCGTTTGATGTTGTTAGTAATACATTTCGAATTCCTAGCTTAAATGCGCAGCAAAAAACTGGAATTAGGAAAATAGTTGAGGAAAGAAAGGATGTATTTGTCAATCTTCCTACTGGTTTCGGGAAATCTCTCCTGTATCAAGCACTACCACTCGTGTTTGATCATACCTCACAAGAGCCTGGTCTTATCGTCGTCGTTGTCTCACCAATTGGGTAAGCCTTATGAACGACCAAGTGTCCCATTTAAAGGAGCTAGGGCTAAAAGCAGCTCACATAAGTTCACTTGAGGATGGTGAACGCACTCGTGTTGAAAGTGGCGAATATTCCTTAGTTTACGGATCCCCTGAAGCGTGGTTACAGTACGAACGTAACGCTGGAGATTTATGCTAACGAACTCTGTGTATTCCAAAAATCTCTGTGCCATTGCCGTCGATGAAGCGCATGTTGTAAGACTGTGGTAAGTGTTTAAATAAAAACGAGTCTGCAGCAAAATGTTATGTTACATGTATGTTCTAAATTAAGCAGTATAAAGGAAAGGACAATAAGAATGTAAATATTGTAAATAGAAAGTGTAAATAGTGTAGTCAGTATTAGTATTGCACTGTGGTCTTATTTTGGTTATCGTTATTTTATTCTGTCAGAGTTATATTACACATGATCACCTGTAAAAATATTGTGTCTAAATACAAAACATTATCATCACAGTATACACTTCTGAATGCTTCAGATTACCAAAAAAATTGATATTGGGTGCCATGGTGTAGCCTATTTGATTGTCACTACTACATAGATAAAAGCTAAACTTTTTAAAATTTTATACCCCTAGACCCTAAAAGGAAGTAAATGTCCCATCAACGTATTAAAACTATGCTTGAAACTAACGTCATTTAGGGAACTTAGTCTGATAGGACCTAGAAAGTCCTGCCACAAATAAAACCTAAAAGTTCTAAGATGGTAGACCCCTAGACCCTAAAATGGAGATAAATGTCCCATCAACCTAAAAAAAACTTATGCTTGAAGCTAAAGTCGTTTGAAGAACTCAGTCCGATAGGACCTTGAAAGTCCTGGCAATGTTAAAGGAGCTAGAGACTACAGCTTTCTGCATGTTCCTTAGCACTGAATGACATTATTATTATTGAACAACAACAAACATATGAAACATATGAGTGAACTGCGGTTATGAGACGTATATAAGAACGATCCTTCGCAGTAAAGCACTATTTAAGCAATAGTGGAAATCAGACCTGAAAAAAATTTCAGGCCTGTACGGGATTCGAACCACTGACCTCTGCGATACTAGTGCAGCGCTCTACCAATTGAGCTAACAAGCCAACTGGGAGCAGGCCATCAAATTAATTCGATATAAACCCGTAGATGATAAATCGAACAACAACAAACATATGAAACATATGAGTGAACTGCGGTTATGAGACGTATATAAGAACGATCCTTCGCAGTAAAGCACTATTTAAGCAATAGTGGAAATCAGACCTGAAAAAAATTTCAGGCCTGTACGGGATTCGAACCACTGACCTCTGCGATACTAGTGCAGCGCTCTACCAATTGAGCTAACAAGCCAACTGGGAGCAGGCCATCAAATTAATTCGATATAAACCCGTAGATGATAAATCGAACAACAACAAACATATGAAACATATGAGTGAACTGCGGTTATGAGACGTATATAAGAACGATCCTTCGCAGTAAAGCACTATTTGAGCAATCGTTCATCACAAGATAATAAAATGGCAGCATTCCGTTAGTCTTACTTCAACCTTCTGAACATCAAAAATGCATTAGAAATTAAGGAAAGTCAAAATAAATTAAATGTTGTTTATGTTGTGCAGTATATGGATGACATGGAACTGGAATTCTATTTTGGCTGGCTTACCGATGAACTGAAACCGAGTCAGGGAAAAACAGAAAGAACTATTATTTACTACCAGACTATAAGACAGTGTGGTTTACTTTATGCTACCATTAATGTTTTACTTTATTGTTTATTGGAAATGATTCAAAACATGTGTTGAAATGTTGCATTCCTGTACTCCTGAAGCCAATAAGCAATGGTACCATCCGGCTACTAATGGCAACAATAGCCTTTGGAATTGGCATTGACTGCAGAGTTGTTCATAGAGTCATACATTTTGGACCCTCCAAGAATGTGGAGTCCTACGTTCAGGAAACTGGTAGGGCAGGAAGGGATGGCCACCAAAGTGTTGCATATGTTTTATACCATGGAGTTATATTAAACCATATTGATGCCCTTCCTTCCCATTCAGTTTTTTGTTCCTTAATTATAAGGCGTCAAACCTTGAAGACAAAGTTTGCCTGTTTGGGTAGTTTAATTCATGAAATGACACATTTGTTTAATTGTGTCCTTTGCTGCTTGTCTCACTCCTCTCATCTTCCAGCAGTAAAGAATGGGGTTCAGAGATGAATTTAAGTAAACTAGAGTTGCTGTAGAAAGCCTGTTCACTGAGCCTTGGGATGTTACTCCTTGTATCCACAAGATAGATTCAATTCCGTAAGGAGCATAGCAAAAAATTAATGCCAACTGCACCCATGATAATGAAGTCTTTCATTAAGACTGGAGAGTGCAGAAGAAAAACCCTTCTGAATCACTTTGAGTCTGTCCCTCTATCCAGAACAACCCCACCTTTGCTGTGACAATTGTGCTACCCAATGCAAATGTGGTATGCTACACTCTGCTAACATTACAAAATACCCTGTCACAGCATACAAGGACATTCTGCCTATATCTAAAGAAAGAGGAGTGTTGCAACAGCAACAGAAAGTTGTAGAAGACAATTTGATAAAGTAAATCCATCATTATGCAACTGGTTGGTACCACTGCGATTGCAAATGTGAAGACCTTAATTTACAATTTATGTTGGGATTTTCACAGCACCAAATATCACAGGTTTTGGATAACTTGCATAGAATTTTCTCAACAGCTGATGTTTACAACTTGGTAGAAATATGGGACAGAAGGCATGCACAGAGAATTCTTTCAATTGTAAGCAATGTATTTCAAGACAGCAATGTTAACAATGATTCACTAGTTGCTGTTACATTTCACTTGTGAAGAAATTACTGTATACATGTACATGTAATAGAGAAGAAAATTTACGATAATGGTCTGAAGTTTGATTAAGGATGCTATGAAAGATTCCATAGGTTATATCGATCAATTGATTCTTTGAAAATTGAATCTCTTCATTGGTGCTGCAGCCAGTATCAAATTGTATTCTGCTTGCATAWTGAGCAAAAATTTTAGACTGCTATTAGTCACTATTCAGTGAGATTGCAAATCTTTCAGACTTTTGAATAGATCAGATTCGTATGAAGACATTTATATCAACTTCATTTATATCAGTAGTTGCAGCACCTGGGTACTTCTTGGGTTAAAATCTGGGCTAACAGACTTTTTCAGCGTCCTGTTTTGACATTTGGCTGTAACAGTTTGTCATCATTGGCACATACTTGTCACTAGGCTCTCATATATCGTACATTTGTGTTGTTCCAGACTATTCATAGACTACTTAACACTGCAGTGGCATACTAAATAGACAGTGTGAATTCTCAAAAGCTATGGACTACAGAATTCAAATTCCCATGGGGCAACAAAAAAAAAACTGTTTTTTTACTCTGTTTATCTAGCTCTGATACCCCTTAGCATCTTTTGCTTGTGTTTGTTTATCCAGTAATGTAATTTTGAGGCATCTAAATCAATACACCAAGAGAACCAATAGGAAATCTTGCCAGCTGATCGTGGTAGAAATACTAGAACTGGCTGTAGCATTAGAGGTACAAGTGATCTTGATCAGATCGAATTGTAAACATTTCGAGGATTTCCCATGGCACGAAGCTTGGATTTCTCCACCGTCACTCTCAACGTTCAATAAGCGTTTCTTTCTGGGAAGTTCTCAAACCTTGAAGATTCCCTTCAATTCATCTTTGAGCTCTTCAAGATGATTAGAGGCCTTTTTGAACTTGATCAATCGTCGGTAGCAAGCTTTACAAACTGACAATTCGCTGGTCGCTGAATAGCAGCTCACATTCACATCTAGACAGAAACTAATATTCGCCGGAAAATCAAAAGAACTTTTCCCAAAAACAAAAATTTTTTGTTTTGTCTCAAATGAATTGGAATAAATAAAACAACGATCACTTTGCAAAACCTTCTTCGGTGTTTCCTCCATCAAGAAACTACGATGAAATGCAGAATTTGAAAATGCGGGAATAATGATATTGATTACAATCTCTTGTGCTCTGATTGGTCAAATAAGAAACAATGTCAGTGGTCTCAGTGGTGCAAAGACAACAAAGGGAAAGGAATGTTGTTCCAATGTGAGCAGACGTTTGTAGGGAGAAGCCTTGCGTGACGAGACTAAAAATGGCTGCGAGGGAGACTACTGACCAAGTTAACACCTCTGTGGTCTCTCATCTGACCGCAAACCCCAGGCCCCCCAACCCAGCCTGCAAACAATGACAATTGCTACTACCTCCTTCCTTATGATCAACTTTTGAGTGGGTTCCTCTCCTGTCATCTTTTTTCAGCACACTGTCCAGGTACTTGCTAGCAGAGCCCCGAGAGCTCGTGGGTCTCAGAAGGGACTTTGCTGTGGGGGGCCCCCTATAAGATGCGCTGTAAGTGCTCTTTATGACTGGTTTCTTGAGTCCAGGCTTCGTGACGGAAGCAGGCCGTTTGGATGGAGGTTTAGAGGCTTTTGGAAGATTTTCCTTTGTTGTTTGTTGTCCAGGCTTCTTCTGCAGAAGCTCTAAGATGTGATCGGCAAAAGAACAAGTCAGCCAAATCAGAATTTGATAAAAATGTATAATCAAATGGCAACTAACAAATTATGTGTCAACTTCAACCTTAGAGGAATTGTTCAGGAATTAAAACAAACTTACTTGAGGTTACTGGAAGAGGTTTTTTCGATATCTTTCCATCTTGCTTTGCTTTTGCTGCAGCCTCATCCAACTTCAAAACAAAAAAACATTTATATATTGAGTTTCCTTTACCACTGATAAGATAAGGGAAGTAATACATGTAAATACCCACTAGATTTTCTGATCATTTTTTTAAAGTGCTCCTAGAGCTCCTTTGCCACTGAAAAGATAAGGGAATACATGTAAATACCCACCATATTTTCTGATCATTTTTTTTTAAGTACTCCTATAGCAGATTTTTCCCCAAAGCCTGAACATTGCATACTGCACAGGTTTAAAAGAAAAAGAAATAAAAAAAGAGAAGTAAGAGAGAAAGAAGGAAAAAGTGCTTTAAGTCTCACGTTTTTGTGTGGGTCCAGCATTTCCACAATCCCCACAAATTTTCTAACCAACACCCATGCACAACTGCAAAAAGGCAAACATACTTTACACAGTTAGGCTTCTGAAGAGGAACTTTCCACTCTTTCATTGGCAAAGTATTTTTCCCAAAGACACATAAATGACATTGATCTATTGAGATAAAACTAAAAATAAAGTACCTTTGCCTGAACTTCCCTGGCTTTTTGAGCCTTTGCTAGCAGGTTTTCAAGTGCTGCCAACTCTTGGCTCTCAGCTTCTTCAGCTAGAAAATATTTCACAACCACCACAGTTATTACATCATGATTAGGATTCACTGGTATTATACACTTATACACAGTTTGTTGCTCTCATTCAAATGCAATCAAGAAAACCACCATCAACAGCTTTGGTTTGATCAGATTTGAGAACTAGATGTACAGGTAAACATATCAAATTAGCTCACATTAACCATAATTTACATAACCAACTAAAAACTTTCAGTAACTTTAAGAAAACATGACTATTGAAGAAAAAACCTGGATGGGTGTAAAGAGTGTATTAACTGCCTGTCATTAATTAGTCACACCCTGACAACCATTCACTCTGTTAGAGAAGACTGCCAGGTATTTTTCTAGCACAAAACCACAATAATATTATCACTGTCACCTCAGGTGGTTTCCTTTCTTTAATCTTTTTTTTAAGTTATAGATTTAAGCATTTGTAATTTCTGCTGCTAAGGAGAACTTATGGGGGGGTACTTAAGAGATGTTTGGGTAAGGATGCAATGCTAAGGCCTAAGTCACACTGATAATGTGTAAGTTTTGGTACATCAATCTCACTCAGCTGCATCAGACAATATAACTGGAATAACATTTCAACAACAAAAAAAAAACCAACAACAACAAGGATTGCATGTGTAAACCAATCATTGTCAATTCTTGCACACTGATGAAGACTTGTGGTTCAGAAGTACAGCCTGATCACAAAGTTAAGAGGCTAAGCTGTGAAAACCTCTGCTTTGCACTCTGCACCCTCAAAACAACATTCCCAGTTTAACAGTACATACCTTTTAAATCCCTCTAAGTTGTCTCTCCAACCATAACAGCGCCACAAGATAAAAACAGATTTATTCAGTCCTCACCTTTACTGCCAATCTGTGTGCCTCCAGTATTTGTTTCCACATTCTGAGCAGTTTGTAACAATTCAGGGCCTTGCCTATTTCCTTCACTTCTATCTCTGGATTTTAGTGGCCTGCACATAAACATGCACAAACAGGGAGTGATCATGGACTATGATCATGATATAAGGACTTCCCCCCACCGATGGAGACTTACAGTAATAGATAAATCAAATTACACCGATACCCACTAGAAGACGTGAACTAATCAACTGACACTGATACATAAACAGCGCACAGGACTAACTTTACCTTAAATTGAAACTGCCAAAAGTGAAAAGCTAAACAAATAGAAAAACCGTGGAAACAAAAGAGCCAATGCAAATTAAACCACTGCAGAGTAACAACCCAAATAAAGTTAAAGTTGAGTCGTGTACTGGCAAAAATGTGGTGTACGTGGCTTATACAGTCCATTAAATGAACACACTATTTTGCGACCTTAGACACGTACATCTTGCTAACATTAACCCTAGCGAAAATATACCCAAAGTTTTGGAATACATACGATAAAGTTATTCCAGTTTTCGCAAAATTCATAATACCTGTTACAAATTTGAGGCGTAACTTACCATGGCTTGAGAAGACTGCGACTTTGTTGAACGTAACATTCAGTTTCCTTTCTTCTGCGCAAACAAAGTTCGTACGACTTCGATATCTTCTCCTCGAGACTGCTTGCCAGGCAACAACACATTTAATGAAGCATTCAACTTTTTAGTATTTATCACTTTACAACTGAATTAAAATGAATAACTTACATCTTAATAACTTGTCTAACATCGTCCATCGCATTTCCCGCCTTAGCCGAAGCCGCCATTTTCTTTTCATTGGGTAAGCCGCTGACATAATTGTAGTCTTGGCGCAAATCTTGTCCCCAGGCTTCCAAACGTGTACGGTGTTACGTGTTCGCAACTCGCTGGGCGATGGAAAGTTTTCGTAAAGGAAGCTACATTTGGTTTGCCTAAGCGTGTGCACGGAAATACTTTTCCCTTTTTCGCAAAAGGTTTTTTCTAGTTTCTGCGCACAGCTTGATGGAGATGTTTTACCCTGTCTAGTTGGAGGTCAGTTTGAAGGGTAAAACTCTAGATTGCATGAACGGTAAACAATTATTTTATTCACAAGCTGCATCACTTAAGAAATGTATTTGTAGTTATTTATTTTTAAATATCACAATGACCTCTTCATTAGTAACAAGCTAACCGCCTAGCTTAGGCTATACTACTAAAAAGCAATGAAACTGCACTGAGTTGACTACGAACGATTGTCAAGCTCAATGAGATTGACATTTCTCATGGCCCTAAACCGTATGGCAACCTTCAGGCTATGTGCAACTCTTGGATTTATCTTTGTCTGAGAGGCAACGCAGCCTTCAAGACAATTTCAAATCGGTTTTTAAGAACTGATTTCTCGTATATTTGAACAAAATTAAAAATTAGATGTGCCACTTGACTAAATACATCAAAATGACTAAAGTAAATAAACATCGGAGAATCCCACCTATCAGTAAAGCCGCCCAGTCTCTCTTCACGCTCTCTTCCTACCGCGTATGAAAACAAGAAAAACATGATGTAATGTTCCAGCAATAATTTCTCCCTGAAAGATAATCTTCTCGGTTTTATAAATCACCCACAAAAACAGACTATTTATCTGTTTCTTTTTTGTTTGTTTTGAGAACTGTCATGACAGTTGATATATGAAAGAGGTTGTACTTCACCATCTAAGTGTCTTGAAAATAGAGCCAAAAATTTCCTTTTAAGTGCGTCATTTGCAACCCGATTCAATCTTCTCGGCCACCCGTGTTACTTCTTGGTCTGTCATTGCCTCTTTTGTGTTTTTCAATCTCATTGAGTTTTCATTTTGCAGTCTTGTTTAACTCGTTGACCCTGATTAGCATCTAATTTCTCCTTATAATATCAGCCCTGAATCAAACATTCAGGTCATGAGAATTTATCTATTTATTTATTTTTCATTTAGTGTTTATAAACTTCTCCAGATTTGGCAGGAGAGATCTCACAGAGCTAATGTTCCAGTAACAAGACTCCTAAACAACCCCCCCCCCCCACAGGGGAGGACATCCATCACACAGTAATCTCGTGTGTGGGAAATTAACCTCTCCTACCCCAACCCTGCAGGAGACGGGATCTCCATTTAACGAAATAATCACAAACCCAAGAAGCTCTTGACTGTTCGACAAATTCTTCTTGTAAGTACCGTAAATAATGCGTATGAAACATTATGGAGAATATGCATACTGATCAGGGTGTAAAGCGAGAAGTCGTAAGTAATTTGGCATGAAACATATAATTTTAGTGTCCTTTTCATTTGAGTGCTAGATGAAATAAACAAAAGGTTACCCAGTAGCCAATCAGAATAAAGGGAGATACCCAAAATAACGAATCAAAGCACAAATTATTAACAAGGTGAGAATGCACAAAGCGCGGGAAAACACAAAACAAGAAGGCGCGATTGGTTTTATTTTTGCATCTGATCGGTTCATGTGATTACTGCAAACTTTTCAGACTAATCTCAAAGCGTAGTAAAGAGAAATCACAAAAGGCCAAGATTACTTTGGAAACTCAGCTGAAATTTGTTCTAAAACTAGTAAATAGTAGACATAATTTTCAAGGTGCTGACTGTTTATCTCAAGTGAATAGAGGCTGATAGTTTCGAAAGAAACTGTTTGGGGCTGCGTCGGTGGGGGTAACGAAATAATTTGGATATATCAACAAAGTTGAAATGGTAAATTGGCCACCGTAACGATTACAAAAGCTGACGTTTCGAGCGTTAGCCCTTCGTCGGAGCGAATAGAGGAATTGTGGGTTGTGTGTGCTTTTAAAGGCAGAAAATGGAGCTACGTTATTGGTGGGAACATGGCAACGAGAAAAACATTGAATAGAGGCTGATAGTTTCGAAAGAAACTGTTTGGGGCTGCGTCGGTGGGGGTAACGAAATAATTTGGATATATCAACAAAGTTGAAATGGTAAATTGGCCACCGTAACGATTACAAAAGCTGACGTTTCGAGCGTTAGCCCTTCGTCGGAGCGTTACGGTGGCCAATTTACCATTTCAACGTTGTACATATATCCAAATTGTTTATCTCAAGTGTAATTTTATAACAGCAATCTAAGGCTCCTGCCATCTGTTCCCCCCCCCCCCTGTTCCCTTCCCCCTCGGTCATAAGCCAAGCAAAGAGTTGTACCAGTCCATTCTTTATAGACGGGATTTTACGATACAGGAACTCAAGCGATAGAAGTATCAAATACAAAGCATAAAGCATTTACAAATCACAGGACAAAATTAAATTACAGTTCAGTAATACCGTATTTACTCGAATAAGCCCCGCATCTGGGACAAAAAAAGTTAATAAGCGCCGCACCCCCAATGCGGCGCTCATTCGAGGAATTCCGTATAACCAGGAAAAACACTATAAAACAATTTTAACATAGCATCAGCAATTTTTATTCTTTGAATGTGATGTTCTTTAGTTCAAAGTGACTGTATTTCTCTGTTCGGGTTATCATGAAACGCTCGGGGTTTTTTCACCGCATGAATTTCTCTCGTAATTCTAGATTTACTATCAGTTTTGCATCAGTCCATAGAAAAATTGACATATAGAAAGTGTACCGTTGAATAAAAATATAGAAAAAGTAAATTTGTCTGGTACGTACAATTTTTTAATAAGCGCCGCCCTCGAATAAGTGCGGCACTTGTGGCGCGAAAAATTAAATAAGCGCCGCGGCGCTTATTCGAGTAAATACGGTATGTCTACTTGACATCAATCTAAAGCTGGTTCTTTTATTGTTTTTGTCTGACGGGAAAGACTGACTCAAGATCAAAGCCAATAGATGGACACCCATGGCTGCATTATAACAATTTGCAAGGAAGCATTCATTCAATCACAAAGATTTCAGGTATTCAGCTAGGGAGCTTTTAGCCCAGGTAACAAACTCTTCATATTCCAACTGGCCATCGTTATTTTTGTCGAACATGGCGATCAATTCTTCGGCTTCTTCATTACTGAGCACCTCCCCGAATGACGTCACCACATAACGTAACTCGTCTGCGGAAATGTAGCCATTGCCGTCACGGTCGAAAACCCTGTCGGAAAGAAAGAAAAAGAATGCTACTCGTTGAAAAAAGGCTAAACATTGGTAGATTTAACACGAAATTTCAGGCAAAAGCTGGATTCCTTTGATAAGGCAGTTTTTAAATTTGTCTAGCAGCACAATCTGCACGAGAATTCGTGTTGAGCCAGAGTTAGTAGAGGGGACCCAGTCCCCTCTACTAACTATGGTTGAGCTGACTGGAGGGGAGTCTAAGCATGCCGGGATTCCTCCTTACACATTCATCATAATTGCAGTCCTCAGTCCCCACAAATCATTTTGATAAACAAAACTTTCTTCCCCGTGCCCGTCCACCCGCTTCGTGCGAGAGTTTCTCGGAAGAATGCACATAACTATGCATCAAACACAATCGATTGCTTTGGGAAGTTGACTGTTTAAACTGTAGCGGGTTAACTCGTACAAATTTTTATACCACAGCTTTTCAAAAGCTACTTGATATGAATTACACGATGAAATACGATTTTTTCGATGAGATCCTAGTCGTGATCTGCAAGTTTTAGATTCTCATAATCAAAGCTGACAATAAAACTTAAGTATGATGCACGATCCTCGCAGTAGATAGCGCTATTTATGCAATAGCGAAAATCAGACCTGAAAAAAAATCAAGCCTGTACGGGACTCAAACCACTGACCTCTGCGATACTAGTGCAGCGCTCTACTAGTATCGCAGCGCTGCACTACTATCGCAGAGGTCAGTGGTTCGAGTCCCGTACAGGCCTGATTTTTTTTTCAGGTCTGATGTTAGCTATTGCATAAATAGCGCTATCTACTGCGAGGATCGTGCATCATACGTATCTAATACCCCAGTTCAAAATATATGAACTTCATAGATTCACTGTATCTCAATAAAACTTAAATGAATAAAGGGTGAAAGTTTCGACGTGGTGCTGCGTCGGTGGGGGTAACAAGGTAATTTGTTTTTATCAACTACGTTGAAATTGTAAAATTGGCCACCGTAACGAGTTAAAAAGCTGACGTTTCGAGCGTTAGCCCTTCGTCAGAACCCTCGAAACGTCAGCTTTTTAACCAGTCGTTACGGTGTCCAATTTACAATTTCAACTTAGTTGATATGACCAAATAAAACTTAAAGCTACTTAAAATACTGGACCAAAAATGGAGGACCTCTGATATAGTATCAATAACTCATAACAACCACCGAACACTCAAGAGCAATCAGAGTCAAATTTCTCTTTAAAATACCAGTGCATTTATCTCAAGAAGAGGGTACGAGAATCAAGAAACTGATCAAAGAATAATTTCCCTGATCTCTAGAAAATTCTCTCAGCTATTTTTACAGGAAAAGAATGCAGACCGGTGAGGATGTTATCTTCGGGCTGAAAGAGTCAAAAGTTGTAGTATGGAGGCGTCTGAGGAGAATGATCTCTGACAATGAAGTTGAAACTGACGGTCGGATCCGAACGGGCTGCAAAACTGTCCAGTCTTACAAACATAACGATTCACACTATTCTCCGTCTGAATAGGATTTTTTCACATCTATCTAGAATGTACGGCTTTTTTTATGTCAATTATAGTTCCTTTTATGTAGGAGGCTTTTTACTCCAACGTATTGCTATTAAATGCGTTTCCTATCCATAATTAATGCTTTCAATTTTATGTTTCTAAACTTCGCTATCGATTTTCATTCTGTTTATTTGAATAATTAGTACGGATGCAACTAAAGTTAAAATTTCATTCTCATATCACCAGCTTGTTTTTAAAACCTGGAATGGAAAATCCTCCAAGGGCAACATGTTTAATATGAAAGCGTGGACCATCCCTTTTTCAAAGTTTTCCCGTTTTTGCCGAATAGTTTTGCTGTAGATTTGTTGCAAAACGTTTTCAAACGTTGCAGCTGTGTAGCTTTTAATCTCGCTTAAGTTAAGAGAGCCAAAGAGAAAATTAAAGGACATATAAGATAGTTTGTGTGGCAAAATGCAAATTAAACTATCGCGTGAGCACAGCCCAGTTGGTTATTGACGTCATAACGACGAGAAAGAAAAAAAAAATCTGTCATCTGGCAAGAGTAATTCATCTTATTTTAGTCCGAATAGGAAGTTGTGTTTGTCGAGGATAAAAGAGTCGAACAGAAAAATAATTCTCACGAAACACTTTTATGCAGGTGTCACGGAAGTCAGACCTGAGGCAAAATTTAGACGAGCCATCAATTTGAATACAATCCCCGGTTTTTTGTTTCCATCAAAACAAGTTATCGAGACGAAATATGCTTGACTACATGCAGGGTTTCCATAATTGACTATTGATTCACAACAAGAAGAGATGTATTATTTTCCATGAGGCATAACGTTTTCAGATTCTAACACTAAAAACTCCACCAATCTTTCCCTCATGAGCGTGCCTTTTATTGAAGGGTGAGTATTGGTTAGGTAGGATAAGAAAGCTAGACATGTAAAATCCCAATCCAAGTGTGGTACAATCTGTAATCTGTAAAGCACGATTAGTTAAAAGTAGATCAACGTATGACGGCAAATTATGCACATGGATGGAAGGGTGTTTAACATGCAAAATACTGATTTCAAATTGCTTTTATGCCATCTTGTGACAGGTTCACAGTATTTGTTTTGCTCTATTCAAAAGTAGACATTGAGACTTTTTCTGAGAACTTCTCAATGTAGCAGGTGAATCATTCTTCATAAGAGTCAATATCGGTTTCGCTACTGAACCAAAAGTGAACATCTTCCAATTTATTTAATGAAACATCAGCGACTGATTACCCAAACAACCGCAGCCAATATTTCGAATCCCTTAAAGTGAATCGCTACCAGCCATTCACGTTTATTCATGCAGAATCCAAACGCGAAAAGATACAAAGTCAATATAATGGAAGCTTTCTCGATTTGATCATCACAACGAAAGCAGCTTCCTCCCCACCCCCTCCCCCGCATCTACTTTATAAAAAATTCACCACAGAAGTTTGATTTTTCGTTTTCAAATTGGTGCAACTACACTGAGCAATAAGCGAAAAGTTTAAATTTATCGATAACCATTTACGACCAAAGCATGCTTTGACAAGAAGTCTAAGATATCAGTACTGCAGTTACTTATCTGTCACCTGAAGGCTTGTCGCAAATTTTGTTCCATTTCGTCTCTTCCACAACCTTCAAAATGCTTGGCCATGCTAATAAACTCCTGAAAATCAATAACTCCGTCTTTATTTTTATCAAATTTCCTCAGAATTTCATCTATTTCATGGTTGCTGGCGTTGAAGCCGATTGCCCGAATCAGGGTGCCAAACTCTGCCTGATCGATTTGGTTATCTGCATTTCTGTCAAAGATGTTGAATGCTGTTCGCATAATGCGAAGTTCTTCGCTTGTAAGCTGGGTAATCTCCACCGTCATTTCTCTCACTTGAACGTTGATAACATCAGCGATTTTCTCGGCAAGAAACAATTTTTTTTCGTCGAAAAGAGACAAGTTTAACGCGCCGTCGACTGCCTCAAAGGTGCTAATTGAAAGCTGATAGTTAGTCTCTATGCATTCATAAAAGCCACTATCTTCTTCCTTCTGTGGCTCTAGGGGAGAAAAATGGAAACCAAACTCTGCGCGGGTTGTTTTAAAGTTTCCGACTGCTCAATACGCCTGATGAAAAATAAAAACCGTACTTCCCTAAAGGCACAAGGTGTTGTTCGGAAATGTGCTACTTATTCGCCCCACTATAGTCAATTGCGTCTCCATAGCGACTGCCGGGAGTGGTTTTGTCAAACAGATCAACCAGCGATCGCCTGCCGGTTAACCTAAAAAATATTTGCGATAATCATCGTCCAAAGGACTGCAGTGTTTTGAAAGTCGCGTCGCGGGAGTCCAAGTAAACAACTAATCTATCGATTGTAGTGTTCAGACAGGTGATTGACCAGTTGATAAAAGCAACACGGTAGGCTTTTACAGTCCAATTTATTAAAGGTATTGCTTAGGTGATAGCTGATGTTATCATAGAACAGCGGAAGATCTCCTGTTTATTTTCAAAATAGCATATGGAAAAACAATGGCGTGCGATCTTGCAGCCGGATAAGTGAAGTAGATTTTAATCCCAATTCCAGTGAAACTCTCTTCCCGCGCGTTTCAGATTTCATTTAAACGATATATCATCTTAAGCAAAATAAAGTTGATGACCTTTGAAGGGTATCGTATGAATTTTTTTGCCTTATCTCCATGGTAACTGAAAATAAGTTGGCACGCTTAAGGAAGGCGATATTGTCTTTTCATCTCTACTCATTCAAGCTGATAACAAAAATGTAAAAAGCAAAAGGGTAGCAGATTATATAAACACAGGATAAAAGGAAACGATCGAGCTTTGAAATCTAGTTTTTCATCAAACTGAAATTGTTTCTCGAACAGCTTGAGAAAAGTAGATACGAGAGCATAGAAGTTTAACATTATGGAGTACAAAACTGACATTAGCAGGCTCATTCTCTCTTTCTCCACAGGAAGGTAGGGGAGGGGAGGGGGAGGGAGAGAGAGAGAGAGAGAGAGAGAGAGAGAGAGAGAGGGAGAGAGAGTAAAGAAGAGGAACACCAACCAATTATAATTCTGCTTTGAAACGAGGTTGTAACTCGCCTGATTGATTTCGTCCAATCAGACCAAAGATCGAGTAATTCAGTGTTAAACTAGATGGTTAAGGCGGGAGAATTGTCTCCTCAGAAAACTGTAACAAAGATTTTTGAACTCCAGGACTAGCACGACGTCGACACAAAGCCTGTGTGTGCTCTGTTCTCACGCCCAAGAGCTTATTAGTTTCTCCACAGTGTCTGCCAAACACTTCATATAATGCTCGAAGAATTTGGTGTGGAATCAGCTCATAATATCCTGATTGATATGTTTCTTTATTCTCATCACTTGGCAGCTTGATACTGCACTTATATTGTAAGGAGAAATTCTGTCTTGGTCACTCATGAGAGTTAAAAGATTAACAAGAATGTCTCTGGCTTTCCCAGCTCTGTTGAGCAATTTTTCCTTTCCCTTTACTTTCCGCTCCCATCTCAGATAAAGATGGCTCTTAGTCTCGTGGCCAGACCTCCCACAGTTAAGCAGTGGGAGTCGAAGTTAAACTGTAGGATCTGGGTACAAGGTAAGATGGCTCATCTATTCAGATGTGGTCCAAGAACCAACTGTGTAATCTGATAAAAAATTCTATCCACGGATTTCGATCAGTGCTCGAGGGAACCTTCGTTGCATCGACATGATTAGCATAGACGCTTCAAAGAAGTCATGAAATATCCTTAGGATTTGTATCTGAGTATTCAATACTCAGGGACCAGTCATTATTTATCGGGGGGGGGAAGGGGAGTTAGAGGATCTTGGTTGTGTCATGATAAAAGTCACCTGATCCCCTATAAGTCTCTGTTATATTCTTAGGATCCCCTCTATTCATTGGAAGTCAATCTTTTATAGTCCTCCCCCCTTAATTTTCTGTTGGCGACGACTGATCCCCCTCCGCCCCCCAGATAACCATGCGATCCGCAAATCCTCCATCATCCCCACTCCCTCAGGAGATAAGGTACCTAAAAACAAAAGTTCTAGTTAACGTGTTCTACTTCGTTCTTAACGAGAGCATGTATAAAGTTATAGAGTTCTGACTTCGCTTTGTACCGTCAACTAATCGCTCATAGCGTACTTGGGTTCCTCCATAAAAACGCGATTTGGTGTGATTCAGCTGGAAAGAAAACTATAATATCCTATCTCCTGTCTCATGATTTATCGAGAAAAACTCCGTTTTTGTCAGAACTGCACCGGCAATTCAGTCATTTTATAAGCAAATCTCCCGTAGATCCTTTTCATTTCCGTGAGGAAATAGACCCATTGGAGCGCAAAAGAAAAGAAATTAAACCCCTAGTAAGAAAATAAACATCTCTTCCTATTTCATTGTTTGTTCAGTTCGATCATTTGCATATCCCTGAAAATGGTATATTGTGAAAGAAACGACAATTCACTTGAAAAAGGACCGCTCTGCTTGTTCAGCTAAAACTAACTGCTAGACCGCCTTTGTCTGCAATTCAGTATCATTTTTTTAGAATTAATTTTGACATTTTTTTATTCAGCATTATTTTCTGTTTATCCCCAAGGTTTTTTCCTCGGGATTTGAAAGTTTTCCCCCCGCAAATGAAAGCCATAGCATCAATCACTCTCCAGATTCAATCTAAACTGATAATTGAAACGATTTATCAAGAATCCTTTCGAATTCTACAGGAAACTATATCACATCAATCTATAAAGGCACCAAATTTTGGCAATATTTCGAGCTATCACCCAACAGCAATTACTCTGTACAATGCAACCTATCTGTTGGACATTTCAACGAAATTGTGAGAGTTCTCTCGTATCATGTCAAAAAAAAAAAAATTCAAAAAAAGTCAAGAGGCTCCAACTATCGCAATATGTATAAGAAATCAAATGATTTTGAGGGTATTTTGGAACAGATAAGAGCGTGTAAATTGTTTGAAGACGTTCTGGTACTTGAAAAATCTATCAGTGTCCTTTTTACTCCAAACTACACTAAATAAATTTGGTACTGGTTAAAATACACATCTTATTTCATTCTGCACCATTAGGCATTATTTGGCGAGCTCTCAGTTAACTGAGCATGTGCATATTTTCGCATGTTTATTATCATGATTGCACGCTCCGGTTGCTAGAGGTTTTATAATACTTTGTTATGGTCTCCAGGCCACCGCGCTTAATGTAATCATAGAACTGAAGCACTAAGTTTCAAATTGTCCGCCGTGCAAGATGTTGATGTTTCTGAAAATAAAATAAAAAAAATGGATTGAGAGAAAATGTGATTTGTATGATAATTACCTTTAAGTTAGTAATAATACTGACACAGTTATTCTCCGTGAGCCCGTAGGATATTTTCCGATGATTTCCCCGACCTCTTGCCCTAAATTGTCCGACAATCATTCACTTCGCCCTGGGCGAATAATTCAACGACAATATGCCTCCACTGTTTCCCTACACGAATACAAACATTAAGAGGCTGGAAAGAGAGAATTAAGAAAAAGAAACGCATCCAAGATCAATCCATCGTATTATAAAATATATTTAGCAGAGAAGGTAGAAGTTTAGACAAAAACTGATCACTATCGTTTCAATACATTTATCTATGATTTTTTTTCCTCTTTCATTTCGGTGAACAATCACCTCAACACTTATTTAATATTATAGTATTTCCTCAGATATTTTTGCCTCACGCTTAAAGTTGTCATGAAAAAAAAAAAAACCAATAAACTAAACATCCAGGAAATACTGAATTCAAGTGAAGGAAAGTGGTTTGTTGTGACTCAAAGCAGAAAACAAATTTCACACCAGGCCGTGAGTTCCCTCTGGAAAATACACAAAATTTCCAACAAAAGATTTTGCATTTTTAATCAGAATGGAACCACCATCACGTACTACATATGTTAAAATCCGTAACGGAGGGAATTTGGCAATATTTAAATGGTTCATAAAACTGACAGACAAAATAAAGGTTGATATATGGAAGCAGAAATTATACATCCCAACTTAGCTGCAAGGCAAATAGACGTAATTAATCGCTTAACACAAAAATAGGAATGTTTACTTAGTATTTCTACACAAACACTCCCCTTTGGATGACAAAGGAAACCGTATAAGACGGAGGTTTTGAATGTATTCAACATTCGTTGTAAGAAGTATTGATGGAGGGGAGGAATGAAATTGTAAAATGAAAGACTTTGACAAAATATTTTGCTATACCAAACAAACTTCATTATGTCCGACTATTCCGAAAATATTATTCTTCCTTCCCCCAAATAACCTGATTATGATTATTAAACAAAAGGCGAGAGTCATCCTTTTGAATTATTCACAGTCAAAATAATGGTGAGATATTCGCTTAATAGAGCTCGAGTCCTAAGTGACAAAATTGAGGCTTCAACAAGTTGTGCCTCTGATTCGTTGTCGGGTTTGACAGTTCATCTGTTAACCCTAACTTTACGATTCGCAAAACAGAAAAGAAAACCTAAGTTACTACCAAATTAGGTCACGGCTGTATAACTTCATTTGGCAAGTTTAGACCTGATTAATTTATTACGGCCAGAATTCCGCTTAATTAAAAAGACACTATAGAACTGTAAATGAGGAAGTATTATTCGTTGAATAAAACAATTAAAATCTCTTCCCCCACGAGAATATATTATACTTATCAGCGTGTGCCAAGTTCAAAGAAATATTTCTCATCGGACTGTCACAGCTGATCAGGGCTATCAGTTTATTTACAGCATTGCCCAGGAAGTATTTTTCCACCGATGCAAGTGGTCATTTGATCTAAGCAGCGAGCGAACAAGAATGCCTTGTAATCGTCGCGCGTTTAACACTTGGGTCGCGTGCCAAGCTTAGCCAATCAGCGCGCTTCTTTATATTCGGGGGGAAAATAATGGATTGCAAATATTGTCAGACAAGGAGCACAACTTAAGGATCACTGAACCACCTGGTGTAGTCGATTTTTGATGCTTCGTTCAGGCAGTCTAGAGTACCTCCTCTAGAGCAAGAAGTGTGGTGGACAGCGCTTCGACTGAAAATGGCCACCGTAACCCCGGACGACGTGCAATCTTTCAAAGCAGCGTTCGATGTTTTCGACCACGACAAAACCGGAGAAATAGAATACGTGGATTTTCCCAACGCAGTTCGATCCCTCGGCTTCAACCCAACGAACAACCAAGTGGCCGAGGTGCTCAAAGCTTGCAACAAGAGCGAAAAGGATAAAATTAATTTTGACGAATTTGCAGAAATGTTGGGGAAATTTAATGAATGCAAGAAGGAGGACGCCGAAGAATCACTCCGCGAGGCATTCAAGTTAGTGAGCAAAACTTTACCTTCTCTTTTTTTCCTAAGTTTCCATATGTTTCCTCTTAATTGTTGCTATTATTTGCATGGCGATTTAGTCTTCTACAGAATATGCCCAAAACAACTGGGTTAATAACGCGCCAAGTGGAATAAATTTTTTTCGCGTCGTCTCAACACTTTACTACAGTTTTAAACTTTCGCTCGCTGCGTTTTCAACTTAAATCAATCCATGAAAAACATAAAACCGCCTCGATTTTATATCCAAAATAAAAACCTACCGCTTCAACTAGGTTCTGGAAAAAATTATCGCGAATAGCTGTCTTCGCTGATTGCAAAGAAGACTCCAAGTTTATTTCGCTTTTTGCATTTAACGCTTGGCGCAGATCAACTGATTGGACCAAAATTAGCTTGCACTAAAATTTGACAACTTAAAAGTTTGCATGACGAATGGACGGTCTATAAAAAAATACCCGAGCAATGTAAGACTTCTGATTACACATTCAAATTTATCTCATTTGCGCTTTAAAACGGCGGGCAATACCGATTTTATCTACGTGCACCCTGATACGAGATTTATTTTCCGCCAGTAAATTTAGACAACCAGAATTTAGATTAAAGTGTACAGATGACAGAGGAGTTGGTATGCAACCATGGATAAAATAAATATTTTGTTGTTACACGATTTCCACTTTTCGTTGGTAATGTAACTAAAAAGCAAAAATGTCCCCTTAGATTGTTAGCTTGGAAAGCGATATTTGCGAGGTTATGACTGACGAAAAAGCGCATGAATTTAGACACAAAATTTAAAAATAGTAAATTTATACACGTGCGAGTTGCATCTGATTACAGCAGTCTCCTTCTGAATAGTTAATTCGACAACCAGATGACGAAAATAGCTCAAACGCACGAAAATCGATGCCTGTACAATTCTATCGGAAACTTTTTCCTCCTCTTTCTAGTCTGTCCTCTAGCGACAGCTAAGACTGCTATGCAACTGGAGAAAAATGACTAACAAGAAACACGGTTTCTAGTCGTCGCTACGCTACACCTGCCGAACGGACCGCCAGATGCTTGTTTTCTCCATGTTTATAGCCCTTTATCGACATTAAAACGAAATCAACCAACCTACGGCGATGCAACAAACTATTTTCAAGTCCTCCGTTTTAATCGTAACACCAACAGATAATATGAAATTGAAAAGCAGAAGTTAGAGTGGGAAAGTTACTCGTTATTTTCATGCAGTGTTTAGGAAAAATTTATTTTTGTTTTCGGCTGAGCGAATATGCATAACGGTTTTTTTCCAAGCAATAAATTATATATAACAAGCATGAGATTCCTCTAAGTTCTTTCTTTTACCATGCAAGAACCGATGCATGATGTAAATAACACTGCCTTTCGCTTACGGCAAGCTTGCCGCATAAGCTCGATCTATATTTGTCAGTGTTGTTTTTCCGTAGGGTTTTCTTATTATCATAAATTTTTTAAGCTAAAAATAGCCTCTCGTAGGAACGCTTCCTTGCCCTTTTTTTAGCTCGCTTTTCAAGATGTTACCATCAGCTAGAGGTAAATATATGTTTAATATCCCCACTCTACGAAAACGAAAAAATAATGATTATCTCAGTTGATCTCAGGAGCTCGCTCGATGGAGGTGTAAAATATCGTTTGCTTTGAAATTACAGCTGGCTTTTCCTTTTCCTCATGTGTTAATTAAGCGAACTATAGACTGGCTAGAGTGTGAAACAAAATTTCCAAAAATATACAACCCTCGGTTCACACAGGAAAAAAAATCTGTAAATATCAGGGATTAGTATCTCTATTTGTGCTGAATGCGGAAATTTGATCTGGGATCCGATAGTCCGAAGTCCACACCGTGAGTCCAGCACATACCAGATATTTGATCCGACAATTCGGTCGCTGAGCATCAAGTTTCAACATCTTTTTCCGATTCGATATCATTTTACAAAAGGAAAAACATTTTGCATTTTAAAACCAGCGCTCATTAGAGGGTATTCTCTTTTTCAAGAAATAATGGAAGGAAATACTTCACCTACACCAGACTTATTTCATAATATATTCTCAAAACTGAGAGCATTCACAGTCTGAAGCTTAGCATAATAATACAGGAAAGGCCAAAAGACTAGAAAAAAAAAACCTTACGGTATTATTTCGCAAAACAGGATACCTCTTAAATATATATTATTTAACCTTTTCAATACTGAAACAAAATGGTTATGATCGAGTAGCCACGTTAATCAGTAAAGCGTAAAATGTAAGCCACAATTATCCACTTCGAACAGATAGAGCCTTTCAGATTGGACGCGTTGATTAACATCAACAACACACAATCGCTTTGTAAACGAACAGCCTTCCTCTTTTAAAAAGGAATCGCCCCCGCAAACCTCAACGCTTCATGAAAACAAAATAGGCGCATTACGAACGTGATCTGGTGATTTGAACTGCATTTGCCTTTCCTCGCGATTCATTTGCTTTTATGTGATAACTTCTAAACAGGCAAATCTTTGGAAATATCACATTTGCATTTATTCTTGAACTCTCACGATACGTTTAGTGATTCTCACTTCTAGCTGTTAACATTTCCTCGAAAATCAGAGGGGAAAATTTGCTAATATAAAAAACTAACATGTTCCATCTAATGGTGTTGTTCATTTTCATCAGTGCTTACTAGACAGTCAATTGAAACTGTAAAGAGAAGTTACATTTTGATCAGTTTCCACAAAATCGAGGCTAGGTTAAAATCAATACCACAGTTTTCGATTCGAAAGCGCATAACTTACCATGAAACGCACAGTACAGATAAACTTCTACAGATAAACTTACAGATAAACTTAGTACAGATAAACTTCTTCGATCTAATAAACTTCTACGTGACCTTACATTTTAGATAACAGTTTTAGTCCACTTCAGCCTAATTTATTGATTCTCGAGGACAGCACGTACACCGAGTCGTTGACCTTTAAAGCTCTTGAGAGAAAACATATCGGCTTCTTGTTAAGTTTATCCACTCTTGTGATAGTCATTAGTGCCAAATTTTCAAAGCATATTACATATGAGACGGTATGACAGCTTCTTGAGTTCAAACTTTGATATACATAGACATAGAAAACGAAAAATTGACGCTACAGCCCCAAGAGTTGTGGCAACAGAAATAAATTACTTCGAATTGAGAGCTGATATAAAGCAAAATCTACATATGTCGCCTCAGAATACGAGGGAATTATGCAACTCTTGAATGATCCAACATCTGATATATAACTCTTAAGGCCTAAAAATACTAAGCGCGACTGCGTTACTTCGCGGGGACAGATCAAATTAAGTCATTGCGATCAACAGCACGTATTCAAACTCGATTGAATTTATAGTTCTAACGCAACGATCAATTCGAAGCTTCAACATCCGCCATCAGCACCCCCCTCCCTCCCCCCCTCCTTTGCTAACCCAAGGGCATTTGACTGTCGTCTGTTCCCGGGTAACGGAAAATTTGAACCTTGCCTGGGTGGGGTGGGGCATTTGAACCAGAAATAGGCAATTTCCAAATTACTTTTGGCCTCTTTTTCAAAACGAGGCCTTGTGCTCAACCATTCTTGTGAAAATGAGTTCAATTTGGATGTAAATGAAAACTTATTATCATATGAAAGGATGAGCACCTGGACTCGTCTAGAAAATGAGGCCAAGAGTAATTCGGAAATGGGCTATTTGCGCCGGGTCTTTCCAGAGTAATAAACGTGTATAATGGAGGAGTCTAAAAGGTATAGGGTCTGCTTTCGTGGAGAAAAGAAAGACAATTTTTACATCGTAAAATGATGTTTACAAGCGAAAAACTCAACAGCAGCACCATAAACTGATACGCCAAACATTACAACTTTCGTTGATCACACAAAGAATCGATACACGCATGGCTCCAATGAGAAACGTATGTCACAGAAGCAAAATCTTTCACGAAAATGAATTGGAAGAGCGAATTGGACCTGCGACTTGTTATCGCAACGAGTTTGGGAGACTTGAGACCTGCACTGAATACAGATTTCAAATCCCCTTTTTCAAGGTGAAAAGCACGCATTTCAGACTCGAATAGCTGCATCCTGTTTCCACCGATAATGAAAAAACAAGCATTAAAACTTGTCTTGTCAATTGTTTACTTGGCAACCTAACCTTTCCTATTTCCCCATTCTCTAAGTAAAAACCACTTCCCATGCGTACGTATTTTTGTTCCCAGGCCTTTCATCGGTCTATTAGCCAACGTTTTCTTTACCACGACTGGACTCTGGGAAAGAGATTGCTGATATCACATGTACATGCATTTTTGCGTTACAGGAAGTTCGACCGTGACGGTAACGGCTACATATCCCCGGATGAACTACTGTACGTTGTATGTAACAGCGGCGAGAAGTTGAGCCGAGAAGAAGCGGAGGAACTCATCAGCATGTTTGACAAAAACGATGACGGCCAGTTGTCCTGGGAGGAGTTTGTGGAGTTCTTCAAATGCGACAGAGAAGCCACAGAAGGTAACATGACCATCCCGGAAGAGACTTCCCGAGGAGAACCACAGCTAATTTAGAGGTGTCACATTGAGGATTTTGTCACGCAACAGTCACAGTAAGTCACACAACACTCGAGACCAAGCTGGTTGGTTACCTTCGCAAAAAGATCAAACAGTGACTGTATCGAAATCTCAGATTTATTTCAGAATGACTTCGCAAATATCTTCCTGATCGATGGTCTAACAGTTATTATTTAGGTGACATTGATCTCATGCATGATTGTTCAAGTTCCTTCAATTTCTTTGTGGCTTCAAAACCTTATTATACTGTAAAGATTTCCCTTTTCAAAGTTTTTTTAATTTGTACCTAACTTACAACATGGCCCAATTGAATGACTCCGCAATATTCACAGTCGTTTGCATCGCATTTTCGTTCATAACTTTAAGAATATGCTTAAACCATTTTAAATGTGAAAATCTGCATCTTTTTCAATTTGTATTGTAGGAAGAGTTAAGCCATCTATTCTTAGACAAACTTGAAAACCACATCAACTTGTCTGAGTACGGTTCTCACCGGTTTGTTATCCCAGTGTAAAGTGAAAATAAATGACTAGCTTTATCACATCTTTTATGCAGTTCAGTTCTAGCATCTAATGGGAACATTTATAACTACCCATCCTCGAGCAGTGAAGCATTATCTGCCGAAATTCAATTCATGGAAGTTTTCTTTCCTAACGCTGGCGTGTCTCTCGCCAGAATGAAATAACCTTCAAGTAAGATGGGCCTAAAGGGTGTAAGCCCTGAATTTCTCGCCATTATTGCATAAACTACCTTTAACTTCGCGCGAAAAACTGTACGATTAACGATTTAAAACCTTAACTAACTGCTTGCTAATAACATCCGCTTGAATGCACGCTACAAAGCGCACGCTTGGATGCACGCTAATGAGCGCACGCCTAACTGCGGGCTCATGACGCTTATGTGCACTGCACCTGCTTAGCTGCCTAGCGGCAAACTAATTACTGCACGCTGAAATGTCTCCCGCATATTGCTTTCACGCAATGTAAATACAAACAAGCTCACTAAACAACAAACATATAAGCTAGGAAAGAGTACCTACATAAGAGAAAATCCTAAACAAACATATACGCTAGGAAAGAGTACCTATATAAGGGAAAACACTAAACATCAATGGACGACTTGCTCCTTAGATCCCATTTGAAGGGAATCAGCACTGGTTCGACTTCTTCCTTAATAAATTTGGAAACCTGCATGGAAAAGGGACACAGCGTTATTTCAGCAGCCTTGAAGTACACCAATAAGTTGTCGGTCGATTGGGAGTCAAAAGTTGACTGGGATGGTTCAGTTTTGAATTGTTTAACGCCTCTCTGTGGTTGCCCCCAAAATGGCGTGTAAATTTACAATCCTTTCCGAGCTGCAATAATCTTTTCTAAATGAACTTCATGACTCGGTTTTTTTAAACGAGGCTAAGGGGTAACTAGGACATAACCGACAACTTACACCAAGGGCTTTTATTTTCATAAGTTATATTCTGTGCAAGAGCTCGGACTTGATATGCATTTGAACTCCTCATTTCGCATATAATCGAAAGGCACGGTAACAATGGGAAAAACAATGCAAACAACGCTGTATAGGAAAGATTTTCAGCAGGGCAGATAATTGTTTTTGCTTTTTACCCTCATAACCTTTTATTTTACTTCTAAATTCAACTCCCTTATAAACAAGGCTTTTTCTACGTTACCTGCTGGGGTGCACGCCCCACAAATGTACTAGCATCCAAGATGACGTCTAACTGATTGTGAATGGGAGCAAAGTATCTGCAATTCTTGATCCTATCGACCAAATCGTTGTCACCGCCTTGCTCCTTGACAACCGCCCCAGACTCCTGGGACAGAACGCGAATCTTCTCATGACACTCCTGTCAGATTTAGAAGGAAAGAGAATCGATTGAAAGCGGGATTCTTAGGAATGAAAAAAAAAAAACGCAATTTCCCACCACCTCTGTAAATTCCTTTGTGGTTAGAGAATAAAGTCTAGTTATAACATTAACTTGTTAGAGTAGAACCTTCCATCAAAGCTTCTTTTCCGATGCAGAACTAAAGAGAATCGCTAAGACGAATGTTGCCTAGTGATGTTATCATAAAAAATGTCGTTATCGATCAAGTTTCCATGAGTTTTTCGGAGCAGGAGAACAACTACCGTTTAAAATGTAATTTCCGTCAAAGCTTACCAAAAGCTCAAGCTCGCCAGAGAAACAATTTTTTTAAGCCTCATCAGTTCTTAGGGAGGTGGGCAACTACTGTAACATTGTGCTGACTCTGGGAGTGATAGCAAGGTGTTCTTTTTTTCCTTTCAACAGAGAGGGAGTGGGGAAGTGACGTCTAATGCAAACTGGGGCGCTTGTCATCCGGCACGCTACCTTGGTAACAGACACGTACCTGTCTATTTCCCCCAGCTTTCACCATTGCCATTATGATATTTTCGGACGCCATAAACGGTAACTCCTGTCGAATATGGCGATCGATAACCTGCGAAAACGACAAGGAGGAAATGTTCAAACAATTGGTATTCTTCTGACTTTCTGGGTTTCATTGGTACTCTTCTTTTCTGGCCGCCCTATGGTAAATTTGAGCCGAACTAACTATTCTCAGCACTTGTTCGCTGAATAAATGTAACAACATTCTTACGAGATATTTAACGTTTATCTCCACTTGAAGTTTAAGGGTTATATGAAGTCAAATTGCACATCCTGTTGACACAAACTACAGTCTTTTTAATCAAATGAAACATAAAAAAAAAATAATTTAAAATCCAACAGCTTGCTAAGAATGTTTGTTCTTACCTTAGGGTAAACTATCAAACCCTCTGAAACATTTTGCAAAGTACTGAGCAAAATATCTGCCGTAAGGAATGCTTCGGCTAAACTTATTCTCCTGCAAGATTAAAAGTTTACAGTTGTCAGTTTTGTCATTTCTTCTCGTTTTTCAGACGCGCTGAGGCAAGCGCGAGGTCAGTGCGAGGAGTGTGACACACCTAAGCGGCCAGACGTGCGCGCGGAGAGAGATAAACGCGCGAGAGGCGATACCTACGTGAGAATTAAAACGCGAAAAAAGGAAACTTTTTTTGGCGCTCTTCCCTCCGCTTGTTCAGTGCTTCACATTCGCCCCCAACCGCCCGAAGAGCGTAAAAATGACGCTTGTTCTGCAGGCTAAATAGTTTCCTCCTTCCTACTTACACTTTGTTATTTCTTAGGCCTAAGCTCTCTACCACTTAATCGAAATGCACGCTCATAAAACAATCATCAAGTCAGGGTAGTTTTAAGTGACCTGTTAGCACTATCGTCCAGCGTCCTCTCAAGCCACTGTGTTGCTGCTGTCTGCTGCGCATCTCCTACAAGCACCATTAAATGACGTGCCAGACTGCAGCACCTTTCACTCCGCATTGGGTTCCGTTTGTATGGCATAGCACTGGAACCTCAAACAGAGAAAAAAACATCAAATGAAAATCTGGCCTGCAAAGTGTCTGCACAGTCTATCTACTTGGTAAGTTATGGCGAGCTAAGAAAATCTGCAATAAATACATCCCCTTCAGTAATGATAATTCTATATGGGACATATAATAAAACAAAATGGTTTTAGGTCTTTTTAGATTTTCTCGCTAGACAATTTCCATCATTTAATGTCTACATGAAGAAACGTCTAGAGTGTATACCTACCAATCTGATCTTTTTCAAATGGTTCCTCGATTTCTTTTTGATTTGCTAAAAGCCTGACGTCTGTACATCTCTAAAACAGAAAAACGATTTCAGTTTGAAAGTGTCAGGTTTAAGGACCCATTGCACTGTCACATATCACTTAATTTTGAATTGGCTTTTCCCAACTGTGCCAGTAGTAAATGAGTAGCATTTTTTTTTAAATATAACTTAAGGTTTGTTCAAGTGCTGAGGTTTTACAATGTAGCAATTAACCAGACTTTATATACATGTACCTTATGAACTGATGCTCCAAGGCTGCCGAGAGCCGATAGACAATCCAAGTCTACTTTACGGCTGTATGTTTGCCCCGTAACAATGTAGTGACTTTTGAAACCAGCCATTTCTGTTACAAGTTGGTCGAGTTGTTCCACCTAAGAGAAAAAAATCACTGAAAAGGTGCAGCCAGATAGGTGCTAGGAAGTGGTGACTGACATTTTGACAATCTGAGCTGATGTCAGTCACCGCTACCGACAACAGTCCTTCTCAGGGCTACAAACACCCCGACAATCAGACTACACACAGGCCTACGGTCTTACCTTACATTTTGGTCGCTCGGAAAGTCGCAAAACTCTTGAACAAAAGTTTATCTTTCAAATCGGCACTCTTAACCCCTTAGGTATCAACGAACGCTTTTCATTCTACTAATTCATTCGTGTTTTTCTCGCCACCATGTTCCCACCAATAACGTAGCTCCATTTTCTGCATATAAACCCACACACAACCCACAACTCCTCCATCCGCTCTGACAAAGGGCTAACGCTCGAAACGTCAGCTTTTTAACTCTTTACGGTGGCCAATTTACAATTTGTAAAGAATTTACTGGCTGAATCCTTCTGTGTTACAAGGCTCAACATTCCGTAAGGCTCTAGATCTCGAAACTCGCTGTTCTCTCTATAAAACGCTGTCTGTATTCAAGACTACCGTCAAGGTTCTAGTCTGTAAAACTCTCAAGTGTCACTATATCCTATATCACAAAACCACAACCGGTGTGGTAAAATCAGATAATCACTAACTTAATCAAATAAAATGAATCTGTGTGCGGTTTCACGAGTGTTCATTTTTCTAGGCTACTTCCGTTAATTGTTCTATTATATCAGTTGAGTTTATTTCAGTTCAATGTAGGCTCGATTTCTTCACAAAATTTCAACAACAGAGTTGATAAAACCAAATTACCTTGTTACCCTCACCGACGCAGCACCACAGTTTCTTTAGAAACTTAGCTCCTTTATACACTCAGATTACTTTGAAATTGTAAGGAGAAATCACTTCATGGTCTCTCCTTGACTAACAAGGAACAATTAAGGAATGACTCAAAAGAAAAAAAAACAAACAAACAAACAAGAAAAGATTGGGATATATCAACAAAGTTGAAATGGTAAATTGGCCACCGTAACGATTACAAAAGCTGACGTTTCGAGCGTTAGGGCTAAGGCCTCCAACGAAGGGCTAACGCTCGAAACGTCAGCTTTGAAATCGTTACGGTGGCCAGTTTACCATTTCAACTTTGTTGATATATCCAAATTATTTCGTTACTCCCACCGACGCAGCCCCAAACAGTTTCTTTAGAAACTATCAGCCTTTAAACAAGAAAAGATAATGACTACCTTGTCATGATCACCATCAAAAAGAGTAAGGAAGCTGGCCTGAGTACCAGTGGTTCCCTTGACCCCTCTAAATCTTAAATCATCCCGAGCCCTAGTAAGATTCCTCAAGTCCATAAGGAGATCTGACAGCCAAAGACTTGCCCTCTTTCCAACTGTGGTGAGTTGAGCAGGTCTGAAAAAAAAAAAAAGATAAACTTGCAGCCAGTTGGATCATTTATCACCTTCATTTTGACAAAGTGCTTCAATCTGTTGAGTAAATATTTCTTGGAATAACCTCTACATCAGAGTTGCAAATAGGTTTGATAAACATTGCAGCACTTTTGTTAGAGAGTACTCAAGGCTGTGGTCAAGCAGTGCCAAGTGTCCCCTAGCACCTTACTTTTGCTCTTAGGCAACTCAGGAATTTTAGTTTTTTCAAACAAAGCATATGCTGGGCACCCTGGATTTCACAGTTTCAGAGCACTGGGCTCCATTCAATTTTCCTTAGAGCACAGCCTTGGTATGGTATTCAAGTAAAATTGTTTAGTGATTAAGCCAAATGCTTCTGAATGTAAATATTGGTTACTTACAAAAGGGTAATTACTTTTTTCTTTCAACTACCCTGGGCCCATTTGCATTCCAGAGTTTGAAATTGGAACTATATTCAGTCAACCTTTAATGCACCTTATGTTTGTCAATCAATAGTAGTGCAATACAGTAAACACCCACATATAAGAACACATGATTTTGGAGGCCAGGCTGATCAGGTTCTTATTTATCGTGTGCTTAGTGAAAAATCAGCCTGAAGGTGTTCTTAAATTGTTCTTAAATTTTGTTGTTGGAATTCAGAACTGTAACAATGCAAAAAAATGCTCGAGATTAAATTAGCATATTTAATGGCAAAGAAAATTAATAAATATCGTGATATTATTGTAACAATTAGCCTGCAAAAGAAAATCAGCCTTATTACTAGTTAACTAGTGAACAGAACAAGAAAATACATCTAACATGGAGGGCATGTTAATGTCTTATCCATTTTATAACAACATTTTATATTTCCAGGCTGATTTTGTTCTTATAAAAATGGTGCTTTATTTGCAAAATTTCAGCCTGATGTTCTTAATCCACGTGTTCTAATATGCAGGTGTTTACTGTACTAAACTTACTGAAAATGTGTATAGCCAAGTGTAGGAATTGACTTGTTCTTCTCAGCAAAGCCTGATAGCCTCTCTATGCATCTGGCAAGCTTTAGATAAATGAAAAATCAATAAATCATTATAACATAACCAAAGTAAAGCGCGT